GTGTGCCTTGGCAGTCTCTGTGAGAGCCAGAAATCTTGTTTGTTTGTAGGTGACCAAATATTTATTTTCCACCATAATTTGCAAATAAATTCTTTAAAGATCAGACAATGTGATTTTCTGGATTGTTTTTTCTCATTTTGTCTCATAGTTGAGGTATACCTAGGATGAAATTTACAGGCCTCTCTCATCTTTTTAAGTGGGAGAACTTGCACAATTGGTGGCTGACTAAATACTTTTTTGCCTCACTGTATATATTATTGTTGTATGTTGTTGTTTCTGACATGTTCAATAAATTGACTAATAAAAAAAAACACAGACCCTGAAGACTGATTATAAGACTAATAAATGTTCCTAACTGAACAATGAATTCAGACCTAACAAAACAGTTTAAAAGCATTTCAGAGTAGAGTCACTTCATTTACCCTGAGTGCTGTTTGTGTACTTAGGAACCACTGCTAGATCTCTAAGAACTAAAAGTCACGGTGGCCCCAGCGGTCCAAAAAATAGAGTCAGAATGAAAAAGGGGATGATGTAGGGTTGTGTAATTACTGTGACTAAATAAAGAGATTGTATTGGTGATTTTCTTGCAAGGAAACACTTGAACTCGTACGCTCCCATCTCCAGTCTGTTTCTTGAGACTGGAGACATCAGAACCCTTAACCCTTCAGATCTCGAGTATATATACCTGTGATACCCCGTCCCCATCATCAGCTCGGTCTGCTTTAATTATGTTTAGAGCTGCTAATGAACACGGTTCTTATTTAAGATAAAGCAGAGACAGATCGATATTCAGCGCTGCGTCAGTCTATATTCTCCTCAGGAACATTTCAGAAAGGCCACCACGGGGGGGGGGGGGGGGGGAGCTTATCACGCAGCTAAATGTCAATGTAATTATGAGCATCTGTAGATAGTGAGGGGAGCACATCCTGCAGCACAACACATATTTCATTAATAAATGTCACTCTGCAGAGCGCCCAGAGGACGACAACAACACCGATGCTACTGCACTAACAGAGAGATGTTATACAGGACAAAATAATAACTATATATATAATTATATCTAATAAAACGCTATTAATATGCATGCACAGCACATTGGATCATCACAAAGCACAGGAAGTGATCAGGACTCACAGCAAGTGTAATATAGATATGGGCTGTGTGAAAGGGAAAACAAAGCTATATGAAAGCTCTGCTAATGGGGAGTAGCATTAGCATGGCTAATTGTTATGTTACTAGATGTGCACTCCTCACTGCAGGAGGAGTCTGCTGATAAACAAGCTGTGTTTGTGTATGAGAACAATAAAAAGACTCAACAAAATGTAAGAAAATATGCATATATAACATCTTCATATAACATAGATAATGACTGATCTACCAAGTATTATCCAAACTTCTCCTCCAATTAAAACAAAACTGCATCTGATCCCTCACAATCCAAGCCAATCACCACAGGCGTTCCTACACTTAATGCAACAGCTGTGGAATTAAATGAATGTTGTATTGGTAAAACAGAGCCCTTTTGACAGTCACTAAACATCTGTGGTGCAGTCTAACTCCTGGAGCAGAGTTTAGTCAATCAGAGGGGCTGCTGGTCTGACTCAGCTGGGGGGNCAACTACACAGGATCAAAGCCAACTTCATGGCAATGCAGGTATGCCCGGTGTGGTCGGTGCTATTGACGGGACGCACATAAAAATAATTGCGCCATCAAAAGATGAGGACGTGTTCGTCAATAGAAAGAAAGTACATTCCATCAACACGCAGATTGTTTTCATTCATCATGATAGGGGGACTTGAACGGTGGTATGGGCTGTTATTGAAAGTGTTTAAGTGCTGGAAATATGCTCATTGGATAATAGTTTGCATAGTGCTTTTAATTGCCTCCTTGATTTAATGCAATTTACGTATTTTTATTGTTTGCTCTCTCTCTTTAACGTGCATATACAACGTCATTATCGTGGTCTGCACAAACTTGTCATCATGCGTGTATTCTGCTAACTGCACTGTCCATAACTATTTGATAGGAATACATTTCTAGCCTAGGCTATTTCCTTGTTTTTCGGTGATTTAGTGGGCTCGTTTGTGGGATGTTGCGGATGAGTTTCACCGAGACCGCCTACTCTGAACAACCAATCACCGTACTGACCGCTTCTAAACTCATGCACGAGAATCAACGTCATCCATAGCAACGGTGCGTCACTCTTAGTTCACTCGTAGTGATTTATCCTTAGTATGAGTAGGTCTCAGCGGCTTTGTGAATAACTTTTAAGAAAAAACTCCTACGTAAAATGTTTTAGCGCGAGTTAGGAGCACTCCTAGCGGTAAGATAAAATGCTTTGTGAATACGGCCCCAGATATAAAGGTATCTGAGTAACCTGGAGTAAAGCACGTGTGAAAAATAATCTAGTATTTCTCTAGATGTGTGTCATGTGACAGCTGCTGTATAACCCCCGTGTGTCCCCTCAGTCCAATTATCTGCTTATCTCCACTAATGGCAGGCAGTGAGCCCTTTGTGGTAACAGCGGCGCTGCACAGGCCTTTATTTCCATATTCATAACTCAGAGGTGCCAATGGGGTTAACACATGTTTAAAGAGGTGGCTGTTTGGCTCCAGGTTAATAAGGTGGGGGCGATTCCGGGTCAGGAAGGTAATGCCGGTTGTGTTTGCATTCTCACAAAGTGCATGTTTGTAGATAAGCAGCAGTAAAGTGGAGCAATAAAGACGTTAGCTTCCTGCTAGTTTTAAAGCTGCTATGCAGAGGATAGATGGTGAGTGATGAAATACAGAGAGGAAACACAGCAGTTGGATTCATCCTTGGGGTTGGGGGGGGGGTGTGTGTGTGGTATCTTGACCTTTAGCTAGCAGAACTGTAATGAGGGCCTTGAGTATGCAGGCCTTCGGGGCACAGCGGCTACTGATGCCACGCGTCTCATCCCTCCCTACCTGATCTCCATGTTGATGGTGTCATACGCCTCCTCCACCTTCTTCAGACTGGACGCCTCCCGCTCTGCAGCTGCACACACAGATTACGGTCACGGTATTAGCAGAGCATGTTGTCTCATCTGCTGTGTGTGGCTAAACCATTAGCTCTGAATACAGGATGGTTCCTCGTATGACAACATGTCCGCCTGCAGGCTAACTCCTGCTAAGTGATGTGACAGGTGAGAGGAAACACTGTGAACATGCACATGTTAGCATGTTATTACCTCCCCTCTTAGCTCATAACATCTGCTGCAGCTAGCATGAGACACTGTTATACTATTATACATTTCTGAGGAAAACATCCATACATCAGTTCGGAGCTACAAAGGACGGTCCTCCTTAAAGAAGGTCTGCACCCTCCAAGAGACTTTCTAGATGGTCAAATTATGAAATAATGTGTTAAATTCCATTTTTCATCAGATTAAAAATGAAATATTATAAAATGTTTATGTAATGCATATGATCAGACCTGCTGCAGAGGTCTAATGGAGGATATTGGAAGTGTATCTTGTGTGTGAGCTGTCACAGAGGTCTAAATATTAGCATGTTAGTGGCTGCACAAAAAGACCCCCACACCCCCCTCTGCACTTTGTTCCTGCAGATGTGCTGTGTCCAGAGGCAGTAATGGATATTTGTACAACCCCTGAACTCCTTCAGAAAATCACACACAGACAGATTCCCTCTCAGACCCAAGCATCAGGCTGAGCGGAGACAAAAGGAGATCACAATCCACAGAGGCTGAACTCTGACCCCTCTCAGCTCAGAGAAAAGATGAAACCTTCAACTCACATTCTCTCAGCTACGTCAGCTCAGACACATACAGGAGTCTCTGTCTGCAACGTCAAGCCTCTCCTCTTATTACACTATCAACCCATCGCTAACTCGGACCAGAGGCTTTGCAGAAACGGTGCACGGTGCCTTCATAACCTGCGGCATAATTATCGCCCCCTTAAGAAACCACTCTGTTTACAGAATCCAAACACTCGGGATAAACATCGAGGCGTTTCTGCTGGTCTGTGAAAGCAGAGGCTGCTGGGAGTTGACGGAGGTCACCTCGCCCCCTGCATGTTGTTGTGCTGGAGTGTCTGTTGGTGTTAGTTCTGAGTGAGTAACAGTGTCTGGCAGGAGGAGCCTCATGTGTTGAGCAGAGGACTCCCAGCCTGCTGCAGAGACTTTTCCTCTGTGTGAAGGACATCGGGAGCATCTGCACAGCTGCCATCACATAACTGGTATGATCCATGTATCATTATAGTAAGATAAGAGAAGTGATTTACATGCTACATTCAGATACATGGATATTGTATTTGACCAGGAAACATTAGCCAAAAAACTGTCAAACATTTCAGCCCCTCAAACTTCTAGATTTGCTACTTTACTTTTTTTTTACACACCATTTTATTTCAATGTTATACTATTTTGGTTCTGGACTTGTGGTAGAAAACAAAGATGAAAATATAAATATATCATTCGGTTATCCGTGACGGCCATATTTCTGACATGTAAGAAAATGCACTTATTAGGTTTTATGGCCAAAATGTAAAGAAGACATAGTTACAAAGTTTCATTTCTTCCCAAAAAATAATAAAGAAAACATTAAGAGTTAGAATGGAGATGAACTCCAACTGTAATATATGAAACCACAAACACAGCCTGTTGGCTTAGCTTAAAGTCTGCACCTCACAGCTGATCGACACGTCCTCTCCTTTCTTTAATCTGTAGTGTGTATTTGTGTGTTTGCTGCTGGAGCTGCGTGTGTGTTGAGGGGTAGAGGTGTTGTTCTGAGAGTGTGTCAGCTGCTACTCTACTATGCTGATGTGTGATGAGTGTTTGCCATGTGAAGGCAGCAGAATAAACAGAATGAGTGTGCAGTGTGTGTGTGTACTCTATTTATGAATATGTATGATGTAACACCGCCAGCAGCTGACCTACTTCTCCTCATGACTCCTCCTCATGACTCCTTGTGTCCCCTTCAGGGAACTCTGTCATCCTGCAACACGCTGGAAGAGCAGGAAGGAAGCGACTCGTGTTCGAATCAACACGGTGCTGAGAGTCAGAGACGACAGGTACGGCACTCTGACTACTTCCTACTAAACTCAGGGAGCCCCGTGTACAGATGAACAACCTTTTTTTAAGTTTGCAAACAAAAGAGTTCGACATATCTGGAGCTGCACGCTGGAGAGCATCATTAGGATGGTTGGAGCGCTGCCAGCCTGTGTTAGCTTCAGGAGACACAAATCAATTTCATAAATCACCAGAGACACACGCTCAAAACACACTTAGAGCATTTGAAAAGGGAAACGGGTTAATCTGATAGAGCTCACAAAATGCTTGCGAGGCAATACACTCCTCCTGTGGTTGACACAGACATGAGTCGGGTGGGGGGGGGTGGTTATGGATCAACCTCTGAATAAGACACAGAGAAAGATCATTGGACAGCAGGCCACTCCTCAGTTCTCCTGTGGAGCCAACAATTAACATCGGACCTATCATGCTCACACACTAACACAATACCTGCTGATTTACAGACGTCTATGTCAATGGGGAAAAGTCTTTATGGGCCCAATGACAGCACGGACTGACAGGAAGTTATACTACCACTGTTTGGCCTCTACCAAAAATTCCTTCAATGCCCGTCGCATCTCTTGGGGGCTTGTTGCAAACCCCCTGTGCCCACTAATGTTGAAATAAAGTAGATGTAATAAGGCTCTTGTTGGCAGCTATCTCTCACGCGGCTGTTATATGTTTTCTATTCTAAGCATCACCCTCATATCTTTAGATGCGAATCTCTGTGCATCAGATCAAAGTGAGGAGGCTTCACACAGCCCATATGTACAGGGATAATTTGTTTAGAGCTGCTTAAAGCCGAAACACCCACAGAGACAGAAATAAGTGGCTGGACTGTGACTGTGTTTGCATGGAGGACACAACAGCTTTACTCTCACTCAGATAAGCACATTACTCTTTATCTAAGTACAAACTTGTCTCTGATTATATTATATATCTCCACCAAGGAGAGCGTCCATCAGCACCACGGACAGCCTCCATCTCCACCATACAGCCTCCATCAGCACCAAGGACAGCTATCATCAGCACCACGGACAGCACCAACAGAACACACTACTATTAATGAGACAAATACATCTGATTGACAGAGAGCTGTGACACTGGAACTTGGTAAACTTTTCAATCAAGGCGTGGACTGTAAGTTTGGCCTTGGGCCAATTTTGTTCTGAGCCACTAGATGGCGGGCCGGAACATAATGAAAGGCTTATTTAAGTCATTGATTGTTAAAAACATGTGACACTTTCGAATGCTTGGGGGGGGGGGTTATGTGATTCTCCAGATTGCCAGTCCGCCACTGCTCACACAACGTATTAAGATCCTGAGCCACTGGAACACACCAAACACACACACAACACACACGAACCACACACACACACACACACACACACACACACACACACACACACACACACACACACACACACACACACACACACACACACACACACACACACACACACACACACACACACAGTAACATGCTGAGACACATAAAGTAAAGGGGGATACCAACAGAGGCTGTGTGTGTGTGTGTGTGTGTGTGTGTGTGTGTGTGTGTGTGTGTGTGTGTGTGTCAGTTTAGCTGACACACAAACACACACACACACAGTTGTGCTGAGCTGACATCAGACATTGACTGTCTGATGTCAGCTCAGTGAGGGGGGGTGATCATCTGTGACCTCCACCAGCTACCGAAGGGGTGGGGGGTGGCTGGTAGTGAGCCTCACCCCACCCACCCCACAGGCAGCAGCTCTGTGTGGATATGCTATATATACACGTGCGTGCGTGCGTGCGTGCGTGCGTGCGTGCGTGCGTGTTGGCCTAGATCTCGGCAGTGCATCGGTGTAATCGGGAGGAAAGAAGGAGAAGAGAACCAAGAGTGAGAGACAACTTGTGACACTACTGCAGGACACACACACAATCTTTACAAACACCTCGATATTTTGTGCCCTAAATAATACTGTATGTAAAGCTGGAGCTACAGCCCTGCTCCTGATGGAAGTTATTCAGACGTCCACTGGGTAATTATAACAGAGGCTGACAGGTGCTCTAACAATCTGAGCGTGTGTGTGTGTGTGTGTGTGTGTGTGTGTGTGTGTGTGTGTGTGTGTGTGTGTGTGTGTGTGTGGTGTGTGTGTGTATGGGGGGGGGGGGTTATCTATTAGCACCGTGAGCTGCTCTGTGAGCGTCACATGCCATTTCCTCTCCTCCGCTCCACATTTAGCTCTGCATTAGTCCACAGGATGCCAGGAGGAGCTGTGAGAGGAGCCGTGGCACTTTGCTCAACACAAACACAATCCCAGATGGTTTCCTTCCCCACAGTCACACACACGCATGTGTGATTTATAACACACACCCCAAAAGGAAAGACCAAAAACACGGAGCTGTGTCATTTCCCTTCAAAGGAGACGAGAGGAGAAATCACTTTACTGATATTCCTGAGAAGAGTCGTGAAAACAGACAAACACATAATGATAATAAATTCATCCTGTAGTGGTGGTAGGGCTGCTCGATTATGGCAAAAATCATAATCTCGATTATTTGGGTCAATAATTGATATCACGGTTATTAAAAATGATTATCCATTTACTTTGAAAACATCCATTTATTGGAGAAAAAAATGTGAACAGTATGTTTTTAGCAGTTGATTACCCTGAACTTTAATTCAACTGAAAAACCAATACAAAATATATATATTTAAAATAATCGTTTCATTTTGATTACGTTGTTCTTGTAATCGTTGCAAGCCATAATCGTAATTGCGATTAAAATACGATTAATTGAGCAGCCCTAAGTGGTGGACTGACTGACAGTTAAGCTCCTTATGTAGCCCGCCCCTTTTCCCACTTCCTGTCCAACTGCTTATGTGCGAGTTCTTCAGTTTTAGCACTAGCATCATTGAAAACTAACAATTTTTTTAGATAAAATTGTTAAAAATGTCTTTACCTGTTCTGCCCAACAGGCCCA